TTTTTTATCAGATGACATTTTCTTCCATTTTTAAGTGAAACTCTTGGACAAGCAACTTATGGGGTTGGTGAGGCTCAAAGTAGTTGAGATATATAAATATAATATATATATATTGCCATGACCCACTCTTTAACTTTATGCTTTTAGTTTTGGAAACTTTAATATTTTTTATTAAAAAACTAATCCATCTCTAATCCAAAATTACTCATTAATTTATACAAATGGAAAGGTTTTGTTGGGGGAGTAGGTGGATTAAATTTATAATCTAAATATTTATGTTATATATTCATTTTTTAATACACACATTGGCTTTTAGATTATTATTTGATATAATAAATATTTCTTTTATTTTTCTACAAACATTTAATTCCTTATTTTAGGTATTCAACTAACATTTCAATTATATACTTAATGGCATGTGATGATGAATTAAAATTATTTGTAGGAAAAATTTCACTCTAATCTATGTAAAAAAATAGGGTAAAGTACACAAATGGTCCCCGACTATAGGATGTTATTTTATTGAATATCTCGACTATTAAAAGTTACAAAATTGTCATTGAATTATATGATGTTGTTTTGTTGAGTCCCATTACTATTAAAAGTTATAAAATGGTCACTTGATTATTCATATGTTCCAAACTCGTCCTTTTCATTAAATATTAACGGTCGTCTGAGCTGGACGTTAACATGTTGATTGAGATATAATAAAATCATATTTTAACGATGTCTAATAGCATCGTCGTTATTTTAAAGCATTAGCTTGACACACAATGTTTCAAGCACTAGCTCGACGACATAATGTAAACGAAGAGTTGATCCACAAAATACAGTTCAAACGGTTCCGGGATTACATTTTTTTTTCATATCACAATCAATATGTTAACATCAAACTCAGACGACAATCAACTTTTAACGGAAAATGACTTGTTTGGAACATATGAATAGTCGGGTGACTCTTTTGTAAATTTTAATTGTCAGAGGACTCAACAACACAACGCCCTATAGTCAAAGGATCATCTTATAACTTTTAATAGTTAAAGGATTTAACAAATTAATACCATATAATCGAGAGATCGTTTGTATACTTTACCCAGAAATTATTAATATTTTTTAATATAATCATATCAATCGTTTTATTTAAACTACATTATTGAACTCATACTAATTGAGGACGGCAGCCCCAAAAGTTTGAATTACATTATTTTTTCTTAAATTTATTTTCGAAATATAATATTTAATGAAACTTGTTCAAAGATGAGTGGAGATGCAATTTGAATCGATTGAAAAATCATTTTATTTATTTTAATTGTAAATTATCTATAAATTAAAACATAAAAAAAATACTATCTTCAATGGTAAAAACAGGTTTCTACTTTTTCTACACAAAGAAAAGTAAATAAAAATAAACTTCAAACCTCTTTCAACGGCCACTCAAGTGAAACATAATTTTTTTTTAAAGTTAAGACTTGAGATAAGATGTTTTTATTTTAAAAATGCCTTTTGTACATCAACAGAACTATGCCATATATATTTTAAATTCAAAACTATCCACGTTAAGATAAATGAATTTTATAAGTTGGATTGATTTTAATTTGATTTATTAAACCAATAAGATAGCTTTCTTTGGGAGAATTAGAAAGGATCAAGTAAATTTTTTTGAATAGATTGAAGTGATTACAACTTATAAGATAATATCTATTCGGAGCTTTCTCAATCATTTGACAACACACATAAACCCTACAAACGCAGCTGCTAAAACTTATGATTTCTAAGAAGAAAAACATTTTCTTTTACTAGTGAGCATGATAAGTTCGAAAGGGTTAAATAAATTGAATATATGATCTGTTTGTTTCCCTGTAATTAGTTTTTCAAAAACTATTTTTCTCATTTTCTAGTATTTGGTTGGTGGAAAACAATTGGTCAACATAATTCATTTTCATAGTCAACAGAGTTTATTTTGTATTTTCTGGAAAATGACTTATGCATTGAATTTTCATAAGTTGTTTTCTAAAATTTTCACTTTAAAATATAAACACTCAAAATAATATTATTTTATATATTTAATATTAATATACTATTTAATACAATTTTAATAAAATATTAATTATTAAAATATATTATTAATAATTTTAATAATATAATATTATACTTTTTAGTATTATAAAAATATATTAAATTATAGTATAATAATATATGATATTATATTTCTGTTTTAAAGATATATAATAAATTATTTTTATTTATTAATTTCATAAAATAATATTTTAAATATATAAAATTTATTTATTTATAATTTTTAAAATGTAATATAATATAATATAATATAATATAATATTATTTTTAATATAATAATATTCTTATTTTAATAAGTAATCAATATAATTAATAATATAATATTCATATTTTAATACATAAATAATTAATATGATTTATAAAAAATTATTTTAATAAAATATAATATTCTTAATATTTTAATTTATAAAATTTAAAAATAATATGTATAATAATAATATTTACAAATTATACTAAATAAATTATTTCAATATTTTAAAAAATAATATTAATTACTTTCTAATAAACAATATGATTTATTGTACTTGATATCTATAATTAATGATTTCTAAAAATATTTATAAACCAGTGGAAAATGATATGGAAAAATTTAATTAACTATAAATTTAATTATATTTCAAAGTTATATAACTTTTAAAATATTATCTAATGTTTTATTAAGCTTAAACCTCACAAATCTTTTAAGACGCAAATGAAATGAACATTTGTGCTGTTGGGGAAAAAGGAAAAGGAAAAAGAAAAAAAAAGAAGAGAGTAAATTGAGTTGAAAGGGTCGCCATCATCTTTATAATATATGATCTTGATGAGTTGGTTAATAGATTAAATACAATGATTAGTTAAAAAAAATTCCAACATGTGTGCGACTTGTAAATAGCATAAACATTACCTTTTCCTTTTTAGAATAGGGATTTACAAACGATATGAACAGTTTTTTTTTCTTTCTAATTTATGAGGAAAATACAAAAATATTCCTCAACATTATTATCTGTTCTACCTAAATTAACTTTATAACTTTTAAGATCATCATTATATAATAAAGAATTTTAGTTTATTATGTAAGCATATTTGGTCGGTTAGTCAAATCATTCATCTTTGCTTCATCGTATTTTTTTAGATAATGAATTATAGATTTACTAGAAGCATTCCTTTTCTTCCCTATAGTCTCCCTTTCTCCTCCCCTCTAGGTAGGAATAAAATTATATTTAGAATTTGTAAAAAATTGAATTTCAATTTTTTTGTTGCCCTTTTGGTTCTTAAGGTTTTGTATTGACTAATCCGGACAGACCCATGTCACACACTAGATTTTGGTCAGTGAGTCTCCCAGTGGGGATTTTTCTGCATATACAAGGACTCAAACTCGAGATATGCTTAAGCAATATCAAGTTGCTTACCACTTGAACCAACTCGTTGATATTTTTTATTTTATTATAAAGGGTGTTTGAATTAGTATTCTCATGTTATTAAGATTTTGTCCTAAGCTTGTCAAGTTTGGTCCAATAACTTTCTTTATTAATAGTGCTAATATTTAGTGCTAAATGATAATCTCATTTTACTAATTTCTATGGTAACTTTAGGTAATTATATCAATTTTATCCATTATTTTTAATTGTTTGCTCTAAGGGCTAAGTTTTTGTAAGAAATATCATTACTATATGTTTAATTTACAATTATGATTATAAATATTCATTGTAATTCATAATATTTTTTATTTTTAATAAAATTTAGTTGTTTCTATAAAATAATACACTCCTATATTGAAACCCATTAAAAAAACTTGTTTTTTCTCACGGTGGAACCCATAAATTAGGAGAGTTGTTGAATGTGCAAAGTATAGCCCAATTTTTCATGTTATTGGCAAGTTACTAAATTTGTTTTTTCTTTTTTCTTTTCCAAAAGGAATTCACCTAAAACTACCGACCCAATATTATTTGGTCGCATAAGTTCTAGTGATATCGGCAATAAAAAAATTATTTTTATTGTTTGAAATTTTAAGTTCGAGTTCTAGAAATATAAGAGGTACGTTTAATATTTAATGATTACGAGTTATTTTTAATTAGATATTGCATTATATTTATTCTATATTAATAATAATAAAAAACAATATTACTTGGTCAAATATAAAGGATGGGTCTATAGATGTCATTTCATCACCAATCCATGATGGTTACGTTTTCCTACCCTTTTTCTCACCCAACAATGGAAAACTAACCCCTCACCTTAATTTTTACTTATTTCTTGTTTCACTTATTTGATAAATTAATTATATTTTACTTAAATAATAAAATTATTTTAATTATAATTAAAATTATAATCATATTTTAAATTTATTAAGTGACTTTAGTGATTAAAGATATATTAATTTGCATTGCATGCTACACTTTTATAGTCGTTACAACTCGGTCATATCGTCGTCTCTCAACGACGATTAGGTCAATCTTTTGGCTGACGTTGGTCTTCGCCTTATCTAATAACCAACCACCGCTCTTTCATTACCATTTTCCTTTCGTTCCTCCTACGAAAAGTGTGAGTTTGATTACAAATTTAACATATAAATTTTTTAGTTAGTTGAATTGCCCGTCCAGCTCAGTTGGTAGAGCGCAAGACTCTTAACCTTATGGTCGTGAGATCAAGTCCCACGATAGACAATTCATAATTTTGACAGACCGGAGGTCTTCCACGGAAACTGCTCTCAGTATTAGGAGTAGCCTACTATCCAACCTCCCCTTACCCCATTACACATGGGAATTTTTTAGTTAATAACTAATACGATGATGATAAATGTTAAATCAAACATGATTATAAGTTTAATATATATTAAATTAACATAATTTTTTTGTTTATTTTTATAATATAATTGTAAACAAATATCACTGCCAATGGTATTGTTTTTCTTTATATTAAACAAATTCTACATACACGGAGGATAGTCACCGTGTTAAATAATGGTATTGCAAGGAAAGTTAGAGCCGGATTTAAGCAAGTTTATATCACTGCCAATGGTAGCGACCTGTCAGAGCTACCGTGCAAGGCTCTCCTTCTCGACGGCCTCCTCTTCACCAGTGCCGCCTTCTTTTCAACCTCTTTCTCCGATTTTCCATATCCACCACAGATCAGTATCCTGCTAATGCCTGCATAGTGCAACGAATCCGCAATTTGCAGTGCTGTGACACCTTTGTTAGTCCTTGCTTCCACATCTGCTCCTTTCTTCACCAACAATTCCACTGCCTCGACATGGCCTGATTCCGCTGCACAATGCAAAGCTGTGTATCCGTCTTCATCTGTCGAGTCGATATCAATTCCCTTGTCAATCAGCATCCTTACAGCATCAGTTCTTCCTTTGAACGCTGCTCTATGTAAGGCGGTCCATCCATGTTGATCACTTCCGTTGATTACCGCACCGTTCTCAATCAGACTCTCGATGGTTCTTGCTTCGCCTTTACGAGCGGCTAAACATAAGCTGTCACCGAGCTTGAGTGCATCGAAAAGGTGAGTGTGACCGTATTCGGCAGCAACGTCATAGGCAGTTTTGCCTGTCTTGTTCTGGATATCCTTGTTCGCACCCTTTCGAAGTAAAAACTTAACTGTCTTCTCGTTGCCTAATTGTGCCGCGATATGCAGTGGTGTATCCCGGTCTCTTGTGTTGCGGACATTGGGGTTGGAACTGCTGGCTAATAGCAGACGAGTGCAATCTTTTCGTCTTTCCTCGACAGCGAGGTGTAAGGCAGTGTTGCCATCCTTTGTGAGGGCATCAACGTTAGCCCCTTTGAGCAAAAGAAGTCTAAGTACTTCAATATGGCCACTCGCCGCTGCGAGGTGAACCGGACCCCAAAGAGAGGACTCCGATCGTTCTGTACTAGCGTTATGTGCCAATAGAATTTCAACAATTAATTCTTCTCCGCAGCCTGCAGCAGCCTCGAGCGGGGTAGAGCCCAACCGACTCCGGAACTCGACATCGGGCTCGAATTCAAGCAGTAATTGGACAATATCCGGTCTGCTTTGAGCTATGGCAATATGAAGCAATGTTTGTCCCTGGGAATCAACTGAATCAACTAGTTTCCATGTAGGATCACTAAGCTCTAATATTTCTCTAATTCCATCCATTGAACCATCCATCACAAGTTGAACCAAAACAGGCGAACCAACAAACATGACCTTGATACCACTATCAATAAACACCTGTTTCTTCCTTGTCGTAAACCATTCATTCGGGACCACATCGAAGCTCGACGTGGAATCTTTGATCGCCGCGCCGGGAACCACGACGCTATGCAGAACGAAAGAATCATCACTATGAGGAAACGATTCCGGAAGAAGCGAACCAGGAGGGAGATGATACACAATCTCCACAGTCAGTTTCCCTAGCGGCGCAATGATTCCCGATTGAGGCTTGACAGTGTACCGACCCTTGTTAACCGGCTGAATCCGGATCGCGACCGGCATGGTGTACATAACGTTGCGCAAGGTAAGCTCACCGAAACATTTCTGCCCCTGTTCGATCCTGATGGCAACAAGGTTTGATGGCTCCAAACTAATAAGCCTATCCATATCTCTTTCTTGCAAGCTAAGGTACGGTTGAGCTGTTTCGACAAAACAAAACCTAAAGAAACATAATCTGTTTGAGAGACAATGGAAGTGAAGAAGAAGGCTTTTGTAGTTTTACTTTTGGAGACAAAATAATGGTCGACTGTAACGACAGATTGCCAACTGGTAGTGTTAAAAACAATGAAAGACTTGTTCTATTCTGCGTCCTGGCTTTGTCACAGCTGTCTTAAGTTACGATTGGGAATATTAAACCGAAAAAAAGGACAAAAACAATTAATGGTAAACTACTCGTATTAGCCCCTAATGTTTATCAAAATGATCATTTTGCATGATATTCTATTTTCTTAAGTATTTTAGTCCTCAACATTTCATTTTAGGGCAAAAGGCCCCTAACATTTGATAGAATAATCATTTTGTCCCTTATTTTCTTTTGGGGAGTATTTTAGCCCTCAATATTTAATTCTAGGTTAAAAAAGCTCCTATTTTGGTGATTGTGTTAAGTAATGATTTTTATCCACACAGGGAGTTTTTTGTACCAAACTGAAACGTTAGGAGACAAAATGCTAAAGAAAGAATAGGGGCTAAAATGACCATTTTAGAAAATGTTGGGGCTATTTTTGATATTATGCCTTTTTAACCACCGATGTTTCGATTTTGTCAATTAGACTACTTAACCATTTAAATGCTTCAATCAGTTTACATTTAACGTTACCATGGCTGTTAAAATTATTGGTATAATTATACATTTAGTCCTTAGTGTTTATACATTATATTGATTTGGTCCTTAATATTAAGTACTAAATGTATAATTATACCAATATTTTTAACAGTCATGTCATCTCCTCTGTTAAATGTTAACGACAAATGGTTTGATTGAAACATTTAAATAGTTAGACGATCTAATTGATAAAATCGAAACATCGGTGGTCAAAATGAAAACGAACAATAATTAGGTGATCATACGTGTAGTTTGTCCAACAATATAAAAAAATGTTAAATCAATATAGTTGGATGCAATGAAATTTACGAATCGATAAGTTTAGAGGGAGTTTTTGTTTCGGAGTTGTTGATGCCTTGTTTGGTTAGGGTTTGTTCCTTAGCATCATTCTTAATTAGGTGATAAGAAAGAAGGAATCATCAAAGGGAGGCTGCTAGAGGACACCAAAGTAGAATCTATAATTAAAGAGAACAATTTTTTTTAATGAAAGAACAAACTCTTATATCCACATTCGAATAAATGTCAAAAAATACAATACTAAGTATAATTTTTCTTTCTTTTTTTAGTTGCCCTCTCGATTCTAAGGTCTTGTCTTGACTAATCTGAACCAACTCACGTCACACACCTAATTTTTATGGGTGAATATGCTAATAAGGATTTTCTGTATATACAAGAACTTGAATTCAAGACCTTATTTAAACGATAGCAAACTGCTTACCACTTGAACTAATTCCTATTAGTTATTTTTTTCTTTCCTTTAAACAAACAATAAGTACATTTTCTTTTATCATCAACTTTTATTAATCATATTATAACTGTTATTAGAGTAACACGTGTTAGGAATGCAAATATTAAGGGGTTATATATATATATATACTGTGAAAAAAGAAACAACAAACTTAATTAAACTTGCATGGATTGTATAAATAAAAAACTTGCATGGAGTGAGACGTGGGCTCACTCCTGAAGCACCTGAAGAACCTCCGGTGGTGGTGAGTCATACAGGTGAACTGCAAAATTTTCCTCATTTGCATTTTTTGCCATAAATTCAGCAAATCTGTTCCTTCCCTTCTTATATGTTGAGCTTTGACACTCCATTGGAGTTGGTTATCCATATTTATAGAGTGATTGCAGTGGGTATTTGTAAATCGAAAATTTTAGCCCTCTATTACTCCGATAAAAGGAATAGTCCGTCTCCTAATTGGATATGGTATTTTTTTGGGAAATTCATGTCAGAGAGAACAAGACAAGAGAATTCGACTTCCTCACTTTGGGTGTATGAAGTATGGAAGGCTATATTTACCTTAAGGATTGACGTCTACTTTCAAGATTACACCAATCTGAATGAAATTAATTTAACAACTCATTAATGAACTTAATTAATATTTAACCTTAAGGATGCGTAGAGAACTCTTCGAATTATGTTGCACAATCAACAGATCTTTGACCTATGATACCCGCACATGGAATGGAAGTTTGGACGATGAGTCTTTGACGATTTAGTGGTGTTCAACCCAACCAAACGAAAAGAATAATTTAGAAATAAAAACTCGATTTTTGACAGATTAATGGATTGGAAACAAGTTGAGGCCTGTAGTTACACAATTTTCTTAAGATAGATTTTCGGCCACTCCTTGGTGCTCGAGATTGTCGGTCGTCTGTCTCTTAGAATATAACAACGAGATGATCAGCGTACAATATCACAACTATAGAGATCACGAACTATACTCTTATCTACTCCTAGCACTAAAAACTAGAGGAGAAGAAAAGAGTTTTTGAGTTATATTTAAACTAAAAGGTTTGCACGGTATTTATAGGGTTTCACATAGGAGAATAATATATTATGAAATTAAGGTCATCAATGAGTGTTCGAGTAAATTCGAAAATAAGCCATTAATATCAATTCAGAATAATAAAAAAGATATGACACATTTAAAGAAAAGTTTAATTTGTAGTGGGTAAAATACTTACAAGCCCGATAATCTAAACATTCACATAACTCACATTGTGCAAGTATGTCCCCAACCCCATATGAGAGAAGCTTAGATTTGCACCCCTACACCTATGCATAAAACACAATTTCAACCCAATATTCAATGATTAACAAGTGGGTTAGTATATATAAACACTTCCCATGCTTGTTATCCTATTAATGTGGGATATGAATTTTTTTGTTTTCCTTACACAATTCACAAGTACCCTACTTTGAGCATCAATTTCTCATTAATCACTCAACCGTTTAGAGCATATGAGATACCATTATAAAGGTCTCATAGAGTAGAATATGAATCAATAAATTCATCATTCGAATATCCACCTTTACCCTTTGAAAATACGACTCAAAGTTCCCAATTTATCACAAAATTTTCCAATAATCCCCCACATGAATGAAATTGATGATTTATTAAAACATTTTGACTCGATGTGATGATAGACACTACGATCGATAGTTGCATAGGATAGGTAAGTGTCCTCCTTTGAACCTTCTCTTGTGATATCATATTTACTTTACTAGCTAACCAATATATGTGATGTCATTGAACTATTTTGTCGTTTGTGTAAACGGTGATATACTTCACTTAACTGTCTTTCTGAAAAGTAGATTAGTTCTCATGGATATGTACATATAGTCATGAACATCGTCTTGTTTTACAAGAGTTTGAAATAACTATGCCCTATAGTCCCCTTGAAGGGCCACACTTCAATCTCACATAGGTGACTTATGTTGTTCAGCTCACCGAAGCACACAATGGTCATTACAAGTCTTGCTTAGCCTATACCACTTTAATCACTATATCATAGGAACGAACTTGGGATTAGAAATTCCCACAATAACCACATACGAACTTGTATTTTCCTATCAATTAGGTAGGGTTTTCCTTCACTCAACCTTAAGGATGCGTAGAGAACTCTTCGGATGATGTTGCACAATAAATATATCTTTGACCTATGATACCCGCACATTGAATGGAAGTCTGGACGATGAGTCTTTGATGACTTAGGGTCATTTTGATATTATTTTTGAAAAATGATCTAAAAAGTCCTATAAAAAAATAAATTTAAAAGTGTTTTTGAAAAGTATAGTTTAAAATTTAACTATTTGGGGTTGATGTTAAAAAGTGATATTGGAAAGATAAAATGTCCATTTTAAAAATTATATTGTAAATTGAAAACACAATATTTAAGGATAGAAATATAATTTCACTCAAAATAGATTTTCCACAACAAAAGCTAACAATTTGAGCTTTTGACGTTAGGTTGATGTTGAAACGGTTTTTCGAAAGGGGAAGGGGGTCTCATTTCGAAATAATTTTTGATGACCTGTTAATGATAAAACGTGGTTCGAGGAGTCACCACCATTCATTGATTAGGGTGTGATTAGGCAGCCAAAAAACGTATTTGCCATTTTAATAAAATATTAATTCTAGTTAAAACAACAAACTTGCGATATACGTCACCAAAATTTTAGTTTGAGAGTCGGTTACGTGTGGGGAAAGATTATCACCCCCACAGTGCCCTGAATCGGTACCTAGTCGATTAATTAATTGTCTTTGCAATGAAATTTATGAGTTTGAGTCTAATTTAATTTAAGATCCCCTAAAAATAATATTCTTTGAATTTTTGGACGAAACATGATAATATTTAATTATTTCCTATCGAGAAGAATCAATCTCTCATACCTTAAAGTAATCGATTCTTACTCCAATCGAAATAAAGAAATATTAAAATTCCATTCTAAAGTTCATTAATAATTCAAAATAACAACACCCAAACTAATTTTAAGAGAGAAAACGATAATATCCAATTATTTCCAATCGAGAATAAATGACCTCTCATACCTTAAAACAATCATTTATTACTTCAAATGAAATGAAGAGATATCACTATTCTGTCTTAAAATTAATTATCGATTCGAGTGAAAATGATAATATCTAATGATTTCTACTCGAGAATAAATGACCTCTCATACCTTAAAGCAGTCATTTATTGCTCCAATCGAAATGAAGAGATATCACTATCCCCACTTAAAAATCAATATTAATTTGAGAGAAAATTGTAATATCAAATTATTTCCAATTGATGATAAATGACCTCTCATGCCTTAAAGCAATCATTTATTACTCCAACCGAAATGAAAATATATTACTATTCTCAATATTGATTCAAATGTTATTATTTTGAAAACCCAATGGAAAAACATGCTAAAATAAAGCAAATTAAAAGCATATATCAAGCAAGTATAATTAATTATTTATTTTACCAATATTTAATGAGAATAAGAATGTTCAATTATTTAAATACCTTGAGACGAGACCTTATATTCGATCTAACAGTCTTCTCTAGATGAATTTAATTAAAAGAACATGATCTTTTTCCCAATCACCGAATTTTAAAATGGATTCGATTTAATTCGTGTCACTAAATGAGAT